CTTGTCTCTTCAAAGTGCATACCATTTTCCTTCCTTCCTCACACATGGATGAACAATGAGAAAGAGGGTATTTTGGAGGATGGGGGAGGAGGAGGGGATGGAGTGGGAGAAGGACCGTGTAATCACTCTTAATCATTTTCCTAAAAAGTGATCTTGCAGTTAACTTTTCTTCTCCTCTCCCCATAGACATACAAATATATTTTACAAAACTATGTTTAGTTTAATTTACACATCCTTTCATGAACAGACCAAGTTCTTTAAGGGCATTTATTCTGCTTCATATAAATAATTGATCAGCCAAGTTAATTTACTTCTGCCTGACTTGGTCAACCTTAATTAACTGCCCTGGAATCAAGACTGAACTTTTTGTTAGCTTAAAATCTTTCACAGGCATGATAACAAGGGTTTTATTTTCCTTAAATTTTCAGCATCAACACTGTAACCAAGGAAATAATCATAATAAGAAAGCATTGCTTTCATTTACTATAAATACATTGGCCTGGACATTATGAATTTTCCAGAATACTTCCAGAGAGCAGCTCTATTGGCAACGACAATAAATAAGCACACTAAACTCAGTTCTTATCCCTCCTACAAGTCCCTCCAGCACAAAAATCGATCTTTTGAAATCAGTAGCGCTGTAATGTTTCCAAGTAAGATGAGAAGCGGGCCATTTTGGCTTTCGTAAGCTTTCCGACATCTGTGTGATGGTAGCATCAGCTTTTGTGCGGTTATGTTGAATGGATCATACGTGATTTAAACACGCCCAGCTCCTTCAGAGAAGTCACAGAGAAGGCTGGGGGAAGGTTTGGCTTTTGTTTTTTGAGAAAGGACTTGTCAGTAGGTGTGGCATGGCCGTGCCCTTCAGGTGCCATGCCTTTCCTGTTTAGGCTCTTTGGATGATTGTTTCTCCTTTCTTGTTTTCAGTCTGCCATGGAGCAAAGCAGATCATTGGTTCTAGGATGTCCCAGAGGGAGGCAGAGGTCGCACACACTCGGTGCTTGTGACAAGCACCCAAGAGAGTTCAGCCTTCTAAGCCAGAGAGCAGAGATACCTCTCCTGTGACTTGCTTTAGAAGAGTCTAAAATTGTAAAACTCAGTAGAAAAAACTCAAGTACAGTGGTTGGCTGGCATGCTGACACCTTTAGCTTTGTACTTCAGGTGTTTTTTCCTTGTCTACCTGCTACCTTCGTCATTGTCTTTTTGGGTATTGACTGCGTTTTCTTTGTGTAGATGTCCTAATTCACTACCTAGTGCAGGACTTTGCAAATGGGAAATTTGCTCATCCTTTATGGAATGGACAAGTTCATGTCTGCCTAACTTGCTGAGGTTTAGTTTTCTTATCTGTAAAATGGGAATAGCCTTTTTTCCCTCATGGAATTCTTCTGTGTTTGAAAAGTACATCAGAGGGCTTTGTAGTTTGTGCATATGATACGAATAGAAAAGCCTTATTAAATGGCTTGAAACATTCCATAGAAAGAAAAAACCGCCAGCCCAGATATTGTTAGAAACATTCTTAGACATCGACACTCCTCATTTTTTCACATGTGCTTTTCAAAAAACCTGTTTTCTCCTGATTGGTGTGGGATATTATAGCAAAATTTAAATCTTCCAACCAACATACTACTGTTAGCACTTGACTAATTAAGGACATCCTCGGACCAAAATAATCCTTTATGCAATTTCGATCCCAAAGCCTGCACTCTCACAAACCTGGTCCCCAAGCCAAGCTGCTTGGCTTGATGCCTGCGAAACTTGTGCTGGAGGACTTGGCAGTCTTCTGTGGAACTGCATGGAGCAAACCTTCTCATCAGATTGTGTGTTGGATATTATTCTGACTCCATCCACCGCGATGTTGTCAAACCCAGGAAAAGGGAGCTGGGTCAGTCTCTTTGACATTTGTCTCCAAATCTGGGAGCCCAACGGTCAACGTGACTTGAAAGCAGCATTTTACCTGTAGCGCTGCTTCCTGAGGACGGGCTATTTGGCTAAATGTGTCCCATTCTGAGGGAAGGTGTAGAGTTTAGGTATAGACAAAAACATTGTCTTTGCGGAGTGGGAAACCCCTGAAATGGAGAGGCTTTCTGGAAGGTTTAAACACTTTTTTCCCTTAGCTTCTGTACACGTGGGAAAGTTTATGACAGAGAAACTTAAATGTTGGGGGACAAAAAAATACCTATGTTTCAGAAATTTGATTTTTTTTTTTGGTGATGAACTAGATACTTGCTTTGCCTGGTTCTTGCATCTTAAAGTTTTAGTTCTTTTTTGGTAGATTCTTCACTCTGCAGACAGTAAGATATGAATGTAATTTTTAAAGGACTATAATCACTGAAATATCTGATCTAAAGAGACAAGAGTGAATCAGCTGTTGTGTCTGAGTTTGTTTTCCACCTGTTAAAAAAAAATGCCATTCTTAATCCAGTTCAGAATTGGATTAACTTTAATGTGTGTGTGTGTATATGTCTTCTGGGTTTATGAAATTTGTCGTTACATTGGATTATACTATGCATGGAAAAGAAAAAAGATATGGATTTTTGTGTTTTTAATTTTCCCAGTTGTTTTTGTATGAGTATAAAACAGACTTAAACCAATGTCTTACAGGAAGACAACCTCCTATAAAGATGCCTAGAGTGTTTAAATGTGCGTGTTTTCACGTCTTTCATCTGTGGGGCAGGAATCTGTAACACTGTGTACATGTGTCATCCATGATTTGAATCAATTTGTGTTAAAGTTTTCTGCCCTTTTATCTAAGATTGGTATTTCCCAGTTGTCTTAATTATTTGGGCATTCTCTAGCTTGGTTGTTTGGGTCACCGTCTCCCTTTAGTGATTATTGCTTGTGGTCCGGCCTCAGCTTGGAGCGTGACCCGAAAATGTTCGTTGTTTGGCCCCTCCTTTACCTCAGCTTTAAGAAAACACATAGCTAAGAACTCTGACTTCAGACCGAATTTGTCTTAAGTAGTCCCCCCTCCCCCCAATCCACAGCTTCACTCCCTGAGGTTTGTTTTCCTCAGTCTGAAAATACTAAATGGGAAATTCCAGAAATAAGCAATCCTTAAGTTGTGGATTCAGCGCCTTTCTCAGTGAGATGAAATCTCACCATCCTGCTCCGACTTCCCCAGGACTGGAATCATCCCTTTGCCCAGCCTTTCCCACCCGTTTTCATTCAGTAACCATCTCAGTTGTATCCAGGTATCGCAGGGCTCGTGTTCAAGTATGTGCAAGACTAGTGATGCTGGTACTTCGGATGTGCCAAAGAGGAGCCATGAAGTGCTTCCTTTAAGTGAAAAAGTGAAAGTTCTCAGTAAGGAAAGAAAAAAATCATGTGATGTAGAACCAATCTTCTATCCATGAATTTGTGATGAAGAAAATAGAAGGGCATACTAGTTTTGTTCTTGTATTTTGAACAGCAGAAGTTGTGATCATAGTGTTAAAAAAGTGCTTATTTAAGCTGGAAAAGACATTAAATATGTCCAGCAAGGTATTTTGAGAGAGACCATACTCATATAACTTTCACCCTAGTATATTGTTATAATTGTTCTTTTATTGTTAGTTATCACCATTAATCTCTTACTTAGAAATTAAACTTTACCTTAGGTATGTATGTGCAGGAGAAAACACAGTGTATATAGGGTTCAGTGGTCATCCACTCGGGATCTTGGAATGTATCCCTGTGGATAAAGGGGGGGTTACTATAATATTCCTTTATGCAATCCTTTATATATATCTTCTAAAAAATTTTTGATGTTTAATACTATCAAATTCGGGCTTCCCTTGTGGCTCAGCTGGTAAAGAATCTGCCTGCAATGTAGGAGACCTGGGTTTGATCCTTGGGTTGGGAAGATCCCCTGGAGAAGGGAGAGGCTACCCACTCCAGTATTCTGGCCTGGAGAATTCCATGGACTGTATAGTCCATGGGGTCACAAAGAGTCAGACACAACTGAGCGACTTGCACTTTACACTTTCAAATTAAGAACTTTTTTTTTTTAATCTGCCTAGGCAACGTTTTCTCCAAAATAAGCATAAGAGAGCCTAGACCTTTCGTACCTTAAACCAGACCAGACGTTAGGAATTCAGCATGAGAAACACGTAACTTTGAATGGGACCTCTCAGGACAATTTTAACCATAAGACAAAGACAAGAGTCAATTTATTTAGCCTCTGAAAAGATGTGACTCCCCCGCTCCCTCTCTCAAAGTAGCCTATCTTACTGGAATGGCCAGTTTTGAAAAGTTCCAATACTTGAATGATTCCAGGGAGTGCAAATCTTTAGAATGCTTTTGGGGTTTTGATGGTAAGGGTTTTCAGCATGAATTAATACCTCAGGGGGCCTCTTGCTAAGGTGCGTTATCTCCTGATAGATTATGTTTGGAAAATACTTCTCTAAGAGTGTAATACATCATACAGAGCCTATACATACAAAAATTAAATGTTACACCTAATACACTGAATGAAATGACTTACTGGTTTTTGAGCAAAACATCCAGATATAATTACAGGAATTTAACCATAAATTCTAAGTTAATCTGACAATGTCTATTTTTTTTCTGAGGCAAAAGATAGCATACATAGAACAATACTACTAAAAGTTGAATATGCTTTTGTTTTTAAGTTTTTAATTAATTTGTTTTATATTAGAGTACAGTTGTTTTGCAATGTTGTGTTAGTTTCAGGTGTATAGCAAAGTGATTCACTTGTACATATACATATATCTGTTCTGGTTCAGATTGTTTTCCCATAGAAGCTGTTAGAGAATATTGGTAGAGTTCCCTGTGCTATACAGTGGGTCCTTTAAAACTTGAATTTGGACCAACAGTTCCATCTTCAGAAACTAGACTATTGGCCCACTACTAAGGGATAAGTTGAGTGAAAGAAAATGACAACTGTTTACAGATTTTGGCAGCACTGGAGGCAGGGCCCTTCTCCTTATGTACAACAACTGTGCTAACAGCTGCTTTTTTCTTTCTCCCTGGCTCCCTCCTGCAAATCAGGTTTTTGAGTCATGATGCAAGAATCTGGGACTGAGACAAAAAGTAATGGTTCAGCCATCCAGAATGGGTCTAGCGGCGGCAACCACTTACTAGAGTGCGGCAGTCTTCGGGAAGGGCGGTCCAACGGGGAGACGCCGGCCGTGGACGTGGGGACGGCCGATCTGGCCCACGTGCAGCAGCAGCAGCAGGTACTGTGCCCGGGAGTCGGGCTGTGGAGGGAGGTGGGTGCAGGTGCTACTGCTCCCCCACACACTTGACCACCGGGACTGTCTGATACTCACCCGGCTGTCTGACTGTATGCAGTATCTTTTAAGCCACTTGTGCTCCAGGGCCCCAGCTTTTGTCATTTCAGTCTTGGGAGGCCCCTCTGTCTTGGGGAATGGTTATTGAAAGTGAGATCGGGTGGACCTCTGGCCACTTCCTTGGAGCACCTAATATGCCAGCCTAAAGTTTAACTACTTGGAATAAAATGAATCTTTGGAGAAATGTTTCCTAATGCTTGAGTAAAACAAGATAAAATACAATAAATAGACTTATTAAGCCTTAGGAAGAAGGAAACAAATAAGGGGTCAAGGATACAGGAGAAACAAGGGCTATAAGCGAGAAAAGTAGTTGAAACAGGAGAGTAGAAATAAGGAGAAATACCCAAGCAAAATTGGGTAGATAACAAGACATCAATAATGCAGGCATTGGTGTAAGAAATTGCTTGCTGCTACCCAGAGTTTCGGGAAATAGGCCACTCTCAAATGTTTCTTGTATCCATACAACAGTTGGTATGTGACTAAATCTTATTACTATTTTAAAGTATCTCTTATTGGTGGCTACCCCAAATGATCACAAGTTGGGACATACTCATTCTTGTTATATCCTTTGTAGGCATTTATATGGGTAACTGCGATTGACTGGTAAAATATTTCCAAATGGTAAAGGGTGTGACAGGGTAAATGTCGCTGGGTGGCCAAAGTGTTGATGCAAATTCAAGTAAGTAAATAGCATTTGCTTGAAGATAAGCATTGTTTTCACAGCCTCTCTTGGATTAGGAAATAGTGTATTATTGATCATGTTAATGATTTTGTTAATGATCATGGATGATTTTTCTTGCGTTTTAGTGTTTGATTCATTTATTAAATACAAAGTAATTTGGGGAAAAGGTGAAAAAAGAATGGTAAATCTTTGGCCCTTTCTGAACCAAACATATTGTTGGGGGTTGGGGTAAAGAAGGAAAAATGCAAACCTTTTCTCAAACCATTTGCTTGGAATCTTCAGCAAAGAAACTAAGGCAGTCCCTTCCTGTTTTAGAGATATAGCATTTGGCAGTCTCTAAAACATGTATTATTTTCTCCTTTCTAAGAATTTTTACCAATAAGGAATGATTAGCTTGTTAGTCTGTCAGAAACCGTTGGAACCAGCTTGAGACAGTGGAATCTGTGGGGAAAAAATAGAAGAGAGAGAAAGAGACTTAAAGTGATTTGATCTCTCTTTTAGTGGCAGCTCAAATTAGATAGTGCCCGCTTCCTGAGCATCACATCAGCTGGGATTTATGATGTGGACTGTGTGTAAACTTGGGGTATTTGCAGTAGTGCAAATGGTCAAATCCTAACCAGTGACATTGGTGACAAGACCTCTCAGTGGTAGAAAGGGATCCATGTATTTGTGTGTGTGTTTGTTCGTGTGATATTCTCAGATATTTGTGGTTATATTGGTAATAAGTTGGTAATTAGTTTGCCATTTTCTGTGCCCTTACCAAACAGAGGCCAAGGTCAACTGTTTCTTTATGGAGCAGCTGAAGTGGGGCTGTTGACTGATGTGGCATACGTGAGTGCATGCTGAGTCACTTCAGTTGTGTCCGACTCTTTGTGACCCCATGGCCTGATGTGGTACGAACACAGAGTAATTAGTATTTAGAGCATGTCAATTGGATAAATGGAAAATTAACTTGTTCTGATTTTTATTTAAATAACTGAAAATCATCTGCCATCTCAAAGTCATAAGCCAGCCAAAAACTTTACTTTTATGCCACAGACACACACATACACACCCCTCCCTCCCTACCCCACTAACAGCCATCACAAGTTGACCTCACAGAAGAAGGTAATATACATTCATTTTTTTAAAGATTAGTTTATTTTTTAATGGTAAGATAATTGCTTTACAACATTGTATTGGTTTCTGCCGTGCAGTAGCGTGATGCAGTCATAGCTCTAAGCATATCCCCTCCCTCTGGAGACTCTCCCTCCCACCCTCACCCCATCCCACCCCTCTAGGTCATCACAGAGCGCCAGGCAGGGCTCTCTGTGTTACACGGCAGCTTCCCCTGGCTTCTGTTTTACATGTGAGAGTGCATATAGGTCACTGCTACTTCCTCAGTTCGTCCCACCCTGTCTCCACTGTCTCCAGGAGTCCATTCTTGACATCTGCATCTGTTTGCCCTGCAAATAGATTCATCAGTACCATTTTTCTAGATACCATATATATATACATTAATATCCAATATTGGTTTTTCTCTTTCTGAATTATTTTGCTCATGTACATGTACATTTTAACAGCATCTTCCTTGAAAACCACCAGCCGCAAAATTAGTTGTTCATGTGTCCCCTCTTTTATCTTGGCTCTGACCACTTTTTAGAGTATGTTGTTTGGGTAATTGATATACAGGTCAATACCTTTTGATTGTACTTCGAAGGGCTTTTAATATTTTTATAACAATTTTATTTCTAATTGTCCCAGATATGTTTTGGGAAGGAAGAAAGCAGTTGGGTCTATCATTGTGCCTGAAACTCCATATATTGTGGTTGGCAGGCCTTTTGAGTCTTTTAAAATAAAACAACCGACATCTGTGTGACTTCCTTAAGTGTACAATGAGGCGCTTAACAGGTTGTTGGGGGAAAGAAAATCTGTAGATGAAATAAGAAAAAAAGGATTCAGAAAGTTTTATGGGAGTCATATTATGAGTTTTCTTCCAGACTGAAACTGCAACAGTTAAACGGTTTGTAGTTATCTGAACGTCAACGTGATGGACATGGGTTGTTTTCGTCATTTTTATTCTACAGGTTTTTACTTGAAGTGAGAATACCAGCAGTGAGAAAATCACAGCCATGCTGAATTCATTACTGCGGTAGTCACACAAAACCATGGATAAAATTTCAATAACTGCAGGCCACAGTTGAGTAAACAGTTGCACTGAAATTTAATTCCTGTTGACTTTTCCCCCATTCCTCGCCAGGGGCACATTCTGATTCTGTAGTACAAAGACAACAGGGGTTACAGCTTTGATTAATGTAGGACACTGGAAGAGAATTAGAACTGTAAAATATGTTAGAAGTCCATGGAACAAAAAGATCTGGCTTAAAAGGCTTGGTATAAAAATGAGTTAATTATGCTGTGTATGAAACTGAATGTTCTAGGATTTTCCAGTTGCTCCAGTGCAGTCATTGACAGTATAGGAGAATTTTTACCTAGTGCCAAGATTTAAAATAAATAAATGCAAGCCTTTCCACCTTTGATCCATGTTACCAAAGATAATTACGAATGAGAACAAGTGCCCTTTCAGAATGTAGAGCTTTCACGAAGATTTGCTGTGGAGTGGCTTCTGTTCTGGGTTTGGTCTGCAGATTGGCTAAATGGGGTCCAGACAGAATTGCTGTTGCCGTTTTTTAATTATGTTGTTGACAGCCTAGAGAAATGGGGGAAATCTGGCTTCTCTTGAAAGATCTGATCTGGTACCCATGGCCAGTATTCCTACAAGGGTAACGGTTGTTGGGGGTGAATTGTTACTAAGTCAAGGAGCCCATAGCCCTGCAGTCGGCCCGAGCCCCGCCGAACCTTGGCTGCCTTGTGCCCTCTAGGCGGCGGAGTTGGCGGCTCTGGTCTGGACGCCGCCGTCCTCACTCGGAAGCCATCAGCCGAGGAGAGGGGCCGCCGTTGGCTGGAGAAGCCCACCCACACCCTCAGAAACTGGCTCCCTTCCTCAAAACGGAATGTATTCTTCTGTAATGCTGCACCTCTGCTCATATCTGGACCATGAAACTATTATAACACTGGTTTTCTAATGATATAATTTGATAGAGTTTCTGAACATTTTCTTTTAGCCCTTGAATAATTCTCTACCCAATCCCATCACTGCTTTTTATTTCCTATTATGCCTGCCCCATTTCCAGGTCTGTGAAAGTTCTCTACTGGATACTGACTACTCCATTATGAAACTCAGCAACAAATACTATTACCAGTTACTAAGGGTTTTTTTTTTCCTTCCCTTAAAGGAAGGATTTTAAAATGTCCAGAGCAATTTCACAAACTGTGTGGATTAATGCATTTTAAAAGTCTTGAATTTTAGAAAGCAGAATTTTATTTCCATATTGCTGCAAATGAGAGCTTTTTCAGATAAGCATATTACATAGAGCATAATGTTTAGAAGTTTCTCCATATACAGCATATGCTGTCAGGTCAATTAACAGAATGCATACTAGAAAATGTTTATTCAATAAAAATGAATAGCTCTTAAATAAAACAGTGATTTCTTAACAACATTCCATTTAATGATGGGCTTTTTTCCTTTTCTTTTTTTGGGGGGTACCACCTGGCACTTTTATTGTCTGCAAATCAATGTAGGGAGAGCTTTGGTTGCTAGAGTTTTTAGGTGTGGTTATCATTTTATATGAGAAGAGCAGTTTAGAAGTAGTCTGTGAGAAGGACATTTACATAAGATAAACTATATGTGGCGTTCAAAACTATATTATTTGAAGAGTTGTGGCTAAGTGATGTATTAACTTCATATAGCTTCTTTGACATTCAGTTTAAGGTACATGTTTCACATTAATAATGTAAAAGAAAAAGAGAAACATTCGGTGACTATTAAGGAGGTAAAAAGGTAGAAAGGACAAGGAGCTTCTGCAAGATCATGGAAGAGAGAGGGGAGGATCCATTGGGTTGAATTTTGCCAATGAGCCATTGAAGGAGGCAAAAGATTAGTCATGACAGAGGACCAGAGACACTCAGAAATTCTCTTCCTTGTCAGGATGGCAGAATGAATCCCTTCCTCTAGTATTTGTTACTGAGGTCACTAGTGAGTGGGTATTAAACAGAACTGGAAGAATGTCCTACCAGTGTTTCAAATTGTAGCTGCCTCTGTGGTAACAGACACCTGGAAGAAGTAGCTGTCAGTGTTTGGATGGGCAGGAAGCACGTGTTA